GAAAAATATTGGAAAACTATTTTTGATATGATATAATGTATTTATTTTTCTCAAGTTTATATACAAATGTACAAGTATGTTAAAATACTTAATACTGTTCCCCCCACCTCACTTTTTTGCACCCTTTCACCCCCTTTTTCCTTTCTTTAATTTTATTTCTGTATATAAAGCTTTCACAGTGAATATTCATTAAAATGTACAATATGTCATATACAATTTTAATGTGATTTTGAAATGCAACATATATTTACTACAAAGAAATTATATTTAATATGAAGTATCAGGCAGTAGAAATGAAAGTATGTATTGAATGTTAACTAATATATTGTATAGTCTGTATATGTGAAAGTACAAATAAAATCTATGAATTAAAAAAAAAGTTTCTAGCGCCTGCCATTGAAATATCTGGCGGCCGCCAGATAAAATTGTAGTGTTTTTGCCAATCAAATTGTAGCACCCAATGATGTACCTTAATGCACTTGATTGACAGAGGTACACAGATTAGGTATTTTTTAAGGCGGTGCTTATAATCTATGCCTTTAACGACATCTTCAACTTCTGTAGTCAAATCTGGGAATTTCATGCCTTATTAGCAAACATCTAATCTACACTTTATACAAAAATTCACTTCATAAGGTCTTCACCTCATAACTTTAAATTTATGTTTTATTAAATTACATGTCTACACCGCAAGAAACTTATTTTTCGGCTTCTAGTTATTTATGTGGCGGCCGCCAGATAAGTTTCTGGTCGCCGCCAGTTATTTATGTTGTGACCACAGGAAAACTATTTGGTAGCCGCCAGCTATATTTTTCTAGCGGCCGCCGAATAATTATGTGGCGGCCGCCAGATAAAATATTTTTCTTACCTTGCACCTACAATGTACCGGCTTACGTAGCAATATGATGCTTTTAAATAAACTTTTTATTTATGTATGTATATAAAGTTGCATTTATTTTTTAATCTTTTTATTTCAAAACATTTTATTTAATTTCAATTTTATGATATTAAGGTATATTTTTATAAAACATGTAGTTGTATAACCTCATTGATGAAAATGTATTGCATATACCTGTATATGACGTTTTTACGTTTACTTATCTCATGTCTATATATCTTTTCATTTGCATTTTTTGTATGGGAAAATGATAAATATTGATTATAAAGTTTTCGTATAAACTGCCGATTAACTATGTCGTTAAAACTTTCTATATACAGGGTGTCCCAGAGTATATGATACCATTTCAAGATTCTGTAAAACCTAATGTAATGAATAATGAATTACAACAAATGCATTATAAACATTGCATATACTGTCCAATTTTATTTACATAATTTGACAGTCATTAGAAAGAAAACAACAAAATGAGTTCTCTTTGAAAAATGCTATGGTTTTTAAATGATGCCCTCTAAATGACGTTCTATCTGTGTAATGATAATGTCTAGACATTGCACAAAATTACTTAACTTGAGAAAACAGAGACTGTCTCGGTAGTAACTTCTGAATTTTCATTAGAGGTAAACATTTTATATATGTTAAGAATTCTGGTTTGGGTTTAGCAGCAGTAACCTAAGACTAGGAACGGTAATTACAGTTTCAAAATGAGGGTAGCTAGTTCTTTTGTTAATCCATTTTGATTGAAATTGCAGTTTTTTTGCAAAAGTTAGATGTACATTTGTTACGTTGCAATTTCATAATTATGAGATTTTTTTTGGGGGGGAATATTTTTTTGTGAAAAAATTGTACCTATTCAAATATTTTTAGAGACATATATCAAAGAAATTGGCCAAGGGATGTGTTTATGGCAGGTATTTCAAATGGTATCATATATTTTGGGACACCCTGTATGTTCACGTTTTATAAGTTCATTTCATCCCTTTTAAAGAAAAGTAACATTTAACACACCAGAAAAATATCGCACCGTAAAAAAACATTCGCATAAGATAAATACCATTTTTCGTAAAAAAAAAATTGTTGAAATTGGTTAATTTATGTCTTTATTCATATCTGTCTTATTTCATTTACGATTTTGACGGTTAAAAAAATCCACTTTTCCCTATCAAAATGTCTACTCCAAAAATATACGAAAGGGGGTATACTTAAATTTTCAATATCACGTGACCGGAAAATGCGTAACATAAATTATTTTCATATTTTTAGGAAGATAAGGGGTTTTTCTACAAAATACCAAAATTTCATAAAATTTCGTGGGGCCGAAAAACGGCCTTATCGAAACTCCCCTTTACTTACCTTGCCATCGGTCATTTGCAAAATTACTCTGTATTTTGTTTAAAAAAAAACATTCTGATTGTACACACAAGTACTTTGAAGCTGATATTAAAAAGATGTTTGAGTTTTTGATTGACAATATCTATGTAGTTTTTGGAGATAAGCCTTCCAACAATCTATAGAAGCAGAATTTATTAAAAAAAAAACTTGTACATTAGAAGAAGAAAGCACTTGCTAAAGCCTTCAACTCGACATTGCGATATATCGACGACGTATTATCAATTAACAATAGTTACTTCCATTTATATGTTGACTCGTTATATCGTAGTGAGCTTGAAATAAAAGATACCACAGATTCTGACACATCTGTTTCATATTTAGAAATTTTACTAGAAAAAGACGTTAATGGTAACCTAACAACTAAGCTTTATGTTAAACGTGATAACGTTTCTCTCGTCAACTTCCCTAACTTATGTAGCAGTATACCCTTATCACCTGCATATGAGGTTTATGTCTCCCAGTTGATTTGATACACAAGAGCATGCTCTACGTACGAACAATTTCTAAAAACGAGGCAAGCTAGCTATTGACAAACAAATTGACAAAACAAATTTAACAAATTGAAAAACAATTGAACAAGAATATAAAAAGTCTCGTTTGAAGTCATCATTTCGCAAGTTCTATCATGGTCGATACAACAACATTGTCAGCAAATACAATCTATCATTAAGTCGAATGCTGATTGTCGTTTTTCATACTTATTGTTAGGTCATTGTTTACACATTAAATTGTCTACGGATTTTTTTCGTCTTTCCGATCAAGACAAGGAGCACACGGCGGGTGTGACCAGTCGGCAGGGGATGTTTTCTCCTCCATGGCACCTGATCCCAACTCTGATGTTTCAGAGGTCCGTGTTTGGTCTGCTCCGGATTTGCATTGTTCCAGTGGACTTTTGAGCTTGATTACTGTTCGTTATCTCCTTATTTGGTATGCTTATACATATTTGTCGGCATCAACACTTTCATTTGATCTTGTTTTCAAATCTGTGATTAGCTCGGTTTCAAAGAAACTCATCAAGATATTTTTATCATACTTCATAAGCTTGTACATATTGATAAAAGCTTTTCAATCGCTTCAACATTTTTTACCTTGCCTTTTCCTTTGACCTACCTCACTTTCTCAAATCTGTGTTTAGCTCAGTTTCAAAAAAAAAAAAAAAACTATTCAAGATACTTTTATGTAAGCTTATGCATCGAAACATTATTTGGTGAGAATTTATGTAAGCCAATAACAAAGTTTATAAGTTTTTTGAAAAGTTTATTAAACAACCGTGATCGTATAGATTTTTAAATGCTTGTTTCTGAAATTTCACCAGAATAGACCAATACTCTAGTTGTAGCAAAAGTTTTAAAGATCCGTCCCAAAGATTCCCGAAGAGCGTAGAACTAAAACTCCAAAAGTAATAATTAAGGTGAGGTCCAAATAAATTAGAGTCCAAAAAGTATTCCAAACGAGTCAAAGAATAGAGTCATAGAATAGAATAGAATAGAATAGAATGCCGTTTTCCGGCAAAACAGGGTATTTTGTGCTCAGAGGGTATTCATGGTCCCGGATATAAAAGTACTTTTCATTGGCTGACTTAACATTACCATACCACCTACGCTTAGTCCGTAGGTCTGTCCGTTGACCTATGAACCCCAACATGGCACCACCCTCAAATGCAAGTAAACACTCATTACTAATATTTATGAGCTCAGTCCTCATCTCTACACCCCAGGAGTTCTAGCCCTAAGCTCTTTTACTTATTTACTTCAAAGTTCCCAATTTTATTGCTCTTGGTCAAAAATCTTAATAATACCATTGCATTTCCGTTCAAATTTTATTACTTAGTATCGATGGGCTTGATTGGTCTATTCTGATCAATTCCATTACAAAATGATTTACAAAATTATAGTTCATTGTACCAACAACAAAATCCAATCTGTTCTAACAAGATAATTATAGCTCATGAACATAAAGTCCCTTTTCCAATTATAAAGTCACTGTATGTGGTACACTAATAATGTACATCCTTGTTTAATACACTTTTATTTTATTTTACTTTCAGTACTAATAACTAAAAATGATTATGATATTAATATTGTCTAAGTTTAAAATGTTCAAACAATATGTCTGTGCTAAACCCTATAGGTTTACATTTACCGTGTCCAATTTGTTTTACCTTAACCTTCCCAAATGACCTTTCACTTTACTATTTATTGTGTATAAAACTCAGTTTTAAAGAAACTATTCAAGAAATTTTCATCGAACTTTATACACTTACACAAATTTTCATGTTGCACCACTAATGAAACCTGGGTGGGGCACTTATATCTTATGGACATATTTCTAGTTTTTTCTCATGTCTTTCATTATTTAAACATCAAAACAGCAAACAATTTCAAAGAATGATCTGTATCTGTTCCGGGGCTTTGAGTGATTTAGAGATTTGATAAGGAGAGAAAACCCCTTCCTTACAGATCTTACCAAATATGTCTGCAGTGATAAGCAATATACAATATACAGCTACATGGATTACTTTTTTGTCAAGCCACTAACAAGTGCAGGCCTCAACAGTCCAAATATAAGATATTCTATTATTACTGCCAAACTATATTGTACATACACATATCTACTATCTTCAAAATGTTCAAAATATATAAATTTCATTTTCTAAATCAATTTATATGAGGTAATTTTTCATGGCAATCAGGAAGAAACAATGAATGACTTTAAAACTTTAAACTTTTATTTTTAAAAGTCATTTCAACAACAGAATCAATTTACTTTACACATAAAAAACAGCACCAAACATACATTTACAGTGCAAATACATCTTAAATGGTACCAGGTACTATTATCTAACCAAAATCTGGAAAATGGTAGATTTATTAACAAACCAAAAGCAGTAAAACAGGGGCAGACAAATCTATTATCTTGTCTTTGTGTTTAATATACATAAAATTAATTTAATAACTTCACCATTTCCTACAATTTTAATCATCAAATTTTACTGTAAAGCAAAAAAGTATTTTATTCAACAAGCAATAAGATAAAGAATGTATATATCTACACACAGCAGAGAACAGCTATTAAGTGTTAGGTGTAAACTCTATTATAGTCTGATAGTATTTCATACTTAATGCATAATTATAGTATAATGACACATCAATACTGTTCTCAGAAAATTATACAGCTAATACATATCAAATATGTAAGAACAGTACTTTGTTACTATATATCAAACATGGTAAAAAGAAACAGTTTGTTTGACTGTTAAAATACTGAAGCTTATCATGTGTCACAATAATCTACATCCATAATAATCTATATCCACAATATTCTACATCGTTCTACTCTCAGTGTTGTCTGAGTGTCATAAATAAAAAAAAAAAAAAAAAAAAAAAAAATACAAACAAAAACTCAATTCAAGGAAAGTTCCATCCTCGTAATGTCAGGGGTCTTGTGTCAACTTGTTGCTGTGGGACTACAAATTTCATTCTTTTTTTTGTTGTAATTTTCTAAAAGGAAGGGGGAGCTTCTCCGATTGAGAAGCACCAATATAAATTGAAGTAGACAGATGATGTAAACAGAAAGGAAACAGTTGACACCTAAAATGCATGTTACACATTGTATGTCAAGAAAGGCTTTATGTGGTTGTTTGGGAGATAAGAAATACAATCAAGCTTAAAGTTTGTAATTTTCCCAAAGGACATTGCTGTAGTCAGCCCTTAAGATATGGAATGAAATTTTTCAGGGGTCCCACATCAAAGAGTTGACACAGGACACATGATGTTGTGAGGATGAGGCAAGTCAAAGGGGTATTTAAAAATGAACTCTCCTACAGATTAAACAACTCTGAATCAAGTAATGAATTTTTGTGAGTATAAACCATTTAAAGCTCTCTGACTTTTGACAATTTAAGAAAATGATTCTATCAGTGCTCATGAAAAATTGTGATTTCATCAACAATAAGAAAAGCCCAAATGATTATTTTATGATAGCTGAAAAAAAAAATGTTTTCCTTTGTTTTGAATTTTATCAAAGATATTTTATTCAATTTTGGCTACATTCATGTTTTTAACAGGGTCAATAAATTAATGATCATTAACGGGGAACAAAATGTGAAATAGATACTGTTAAACAATATCACTTCTATTTTTTGTTTTATGATTGCATCAAATATTTCATGGCAAAAATTGAATCAAACTGATATATGCACATAAGTTGTTTTAATCACTCCTTCATTTCCAAAATGAAGAATAAATCTTAATAACTTAAAAGTTTAAAGTCTAATAAAAATAACATGATACATACATATCCCCCTAAACACAAAAATAACCATTAAATGCATACAACAATGAATAAAACAATAGATTCATTAGAATGATCCATGTACACCCAGGAAAAGATGTGGTAAAGTGGGTAGGAAGTTGTTCATATTAAAATATTTAAAGTACATGTATATTACTTGCAGTGTAATCAATTTTGAAATCAAATATTCTTAACTATGTTAGCTATAGATAGAGCTACAAAAATGATATACCCAGAACACATAATCTTTTTCCCATAAATACCCTTTATATTGTGTAAATAACCAATCAAGTAAAGAAAAAAATTATATCAGTTATGTATGAGCTACAAATGCCTGAAACTCTAGTTCCATTAATGACTTTGAAATTGTGTAGAGATGATCTTTGATCAAGGTCATAGCAACCCCTTATGTTATCACTAAATAATCCTTTTTCACTAAGAACTTTCTTAGAATGATACTGCTTTCCAAAGACATGGCAAAAATGGACTTTACCAGTAGCCTTGAATGAAATATGGAGATAATAGACAGTAGTCAAGCCGAAAGTCCATCGAAACAATTTATCCAAATTACCTTGTGTTAAGGTTTAGACATCCTTAGGTCATAAATCAAATGCCTCCAAGATATCTCTGCCACAAACATGCATGAGACAGGTGGAAACTAGGGCTGAGATGATACAACTTTTTCTATATTGATACATACCACAATATTTGAGCCATGATACGATATGTATCACAATATGTTGAATTGGTTATAAAATGGGTTTTTTGGGTATTGAAATGAACAAAACATTTCTTCACATATAAGAATAATTTATTCAAAGAAGTTGTATATCTGTTGTAAAACAAAATCATTTTACACAAGTGGTATTAATTATTATGTATTTCATATTTATATTTAGCATATTTATTTTATATATTTAACTCAAAATGTCAAGTAACAAAGAAAAACATAAGTCAGAATTTTTTTGACAATATTTCCTCATACATATCGTCGATATAAGTATCATCCTCACATTGAATCGATATTATCAATATTTCGATATATCATCCCAGCCCTAGTGGACACAAATTCAAATTTCAATATTATGACCTTGAACTACTCCAAATGACCCTGGATTAGGGTTATGACAAACCATTCCTTAGCTTATAATGATTTTCAAATTTTCTCTCTTACAAAGTTATGGACTGGAAATGATTGTGCAGACAGGCAGACAAGGTGATTCCTATAGATACCCAAATGAAGTTTCTGTGATATCATTAAAATACATGTACAAACAACAAAAACAAAGGCATATGTAAGCCTATATGTAAATAATATGTATGGTATGTATATGAAAGAGAAAGCATAAAAGCTACTTTTAAATGGATTTCAAGTACTACACAGTACAGTGAGTACAGTTTAAATAGCAGTATACCAATGAGGTAAGACATTATGCATATAGACACCAGACATTAATACTAACTAGTACCAATCAAAACATCTCAAGCACTTCAACATACAAGAATGAAATGACTGATATTTGATTTAACATGAGCGACTGAGGATATAGCCATCTGAATACTGATACATTTAGTTCAGTAGCTGCACAGCTTTTACTTGCTTATAATACTAAGTACTGTGTTTATACTGATCACCTGTAGTGTACCACTGACACATAGTATGGAACAATATTCTTAAATATCAAAAAAAAATCTGCACATCAGTGTAGTAGACCTATTGATTTTAAAATTTTTTTCCACCTTACTCGGTTGTTCTTTTGGCTTCTGAAACATCCATTTCTACACTACTCACAGCAAATATACCAACTACTGTTTTTCTATATAAATTCCACATGCTTCATATCATGTCAAAGAATCAAATATTTGTTCAAGAACATTAACCAAGAAATATCATAAAAGTATGCACACGCAAGCAACATTTCCTTCGTCATAAAAAGTAAACAGTACAAACCCTAGTGGAAATGAATAAAATAAAGGTCTGAAATACAATGTCCCCCGTTACAGAACAATTTCTCTACGACAAGTGTTGACTTCAATTTAAAAATAATCTTTCTCCTTTACTCTTGCTTTCATAAAAATTTAAGTTTTCATTTTGATCATTCTTAAGTTATAGCTTAGGTCAAATTTTTGGACAGACAATAAAACAAACAAAGAAGCAAAACAAAAACAATATTTGCCATTGTTTTCCATCTAAAACAATATCTAGAAAAATAATAAATGCTAAATGTCCTTCACACGAAAAACCTCTCCTATTTGTTTGTATTCCTTGGAATTCTGTATACATATTATTGTAATATTGTCTACAGTTAATTACTACAAAAAATAACTTTACAAGAACTGGCAGAGCACAAATAAAAACATGTACCGATATAAATAATGATACAATGTCATGAAAAACAAAATTATGATTGAGTGACACACATATATTTATACTTTAATGTTTACAATAGAAATCAATATCTAATTTAATAAATAAGCACAGCAAAGGTTTGACAGCCATGAATATCGTATTTTTTTTAAACTGATTTAAATTAACAAAATAATTTCAATGTGATACCAGTAAGCAATCCGATTTCTGTTATAGACTAAATGACTCATTCTGGAAAGTCACTGCTCATGCTGTCCTTATAAGGATAGTTTTCTGGACCTTCCACCTCTACTCAGTATTCGGGACAAGTAAATGCTACATCACAGATCCACAATGTTAGGCAAATGATGAATATCAGTGATTCTGGGTCTTGGAGAGTTTATCAGACTCAAAAGCCTGATGAGTGGAGAAAGCTGGAATGAGAGAATTCATATAAGTGCTAAAACTGAAAGCAACCAGGATTTATTTTATGTATTTATACATACATGTACATTCTTTTCAAAAGCTAGCATCATCTGAATCTGAAGGTTTGTTAAAGGGAAAAATAATGTACACAACTTTGTGAGTTGGTTTCTGTTTTTTCCCAACTCCAGTTCCTTAATCTTTTACATTAAGGACAGAAATTATTAGCTACCCCCCGTTATACTGTATATAACCTGAGTTGAGATAGTGAACACTTTTTATCACACCTTGACCCCTTTATTGCATGGATATCACTCATTGAATATTTTTTTCATGTACCACTGCTGTGATGTGACGATGTTTTTTGCATGAAAGTGGTGAAGGAAAATAATTTGAATTCATATACATGTACATGTATAAGTTTAAAACATTGATAGTGATTTATAAAACAGGTGATAAAAAGAATCTCCCATGGTTTGTGGTTGGAAATGATTTTTTTATCCAACTCGTCATGTGCTTCTATCCCCTCGCCAAGGCTTGGGGATAAAAAACACACAACTCATAGGATAAAAAATCATATCCTACCAAAAATCATGGGAGATCCTTTATATAGTTTACAAATAAGCATAAAATGTTCCAACAATTATACAAGAATAACTTGGGTAACTATTTAATTTATTTCCTTGAATTTAATTTAATTTTCCTTCATTAAGTGTACAAAATAAGACAATTTTCCCTTTAAAAATGCTACATGTCAGAGAACCAAAAATAGGAATCACTGTACAGGAGAAACAAATAGCAGTAATGAAAGATGATCATATCACTGATAAATTATCATTCTTAAAATAAAGACTACACTAAAACTCAGTTATAGTGAAGTCCTGGGGACCTGTGAATTTACTTTGCTATATCCGTAATTCGTTATATCCGTATGACAAATTTGTATAAGTATATATAGTGAATTCGCAATATATATATTTTCCTTCAAATATTACTACCGAATATGTTAGGGAAGCAATTATCACAAAACATACCTTGGATAACTAAGGTTTTATTATGAATTGAATTTTATATACAAATTCTTAATGAAAATAAAGTCATTTCAATATATCAGATTTTGATATCTGAAAATTCATTATAAAAGATGTAAATTACATTATTTTTTACCTCTACGGGACTCAAAATCAGTTCACTATATCCGTAAATTCGTTATATCAGAGTTCGCTTAAACTGTAAAATTGTATGATATCCGTGAATTCGCTATATCCTTGTTCATACTAAACAAGTTTTACTGTATATATTTGGATCAGAAAACGAGCATATGTCCTTTATCCACCTCTTAAAATTGTAAAACAATACAATAGCAAGAAAGGTTTTACCATTTCATTTCTATTTTTACCATTATGATTTCACTTCTGAAGATGCATATATTAATCCAGAAATAGTTCACTCCACTGTTACACAGCGCTGTGTACTAAATCAAATAAATACCTCAATGTTTAAAAACAAATAAGTTCTGGGACTTAAAAGTGACAAGCACATTTGAAGTGCATGTATTTTCTTGACTCCCTTGTTATTTTAAAGAGGAGAAGAGCAGTCCAACCCCTTGCTGCTGAGTAATAAAATCTCTAATCTTTGTCATATTTTACTCACATGTACATATGTCTACTTAGCTTACAGATATTTCAATCATCAGTTATAATCCATTGTCTTCATCCCTTACCTTTATAGAATATGGCTGTAAAGTTGACATCTGGCAATAGTTCTTTGACTTTATTTATCACAGTGGACTGTTCGTGAAGGTCTGACCTTGCGTTCCAGATTTCTATCAGGTCATCTCTCTCTCGTATACTAATACTGATTCCTCCCACTTCATCTCCTACACAGGTTTAGAATTCATTAGCAAATACTACTTAGTTATTTAACAACAAGCTCAATGGACCTGGAATAACTGATAAATAAAGAAAAGACTAAAATACCTAAGTATGCAAAATGCTATAACATTACCATACAAAGTAGTCATGAAATTCTAATGAGGGTATTATGATCTACGTGTACTATTAGGTCATTTCACCCCCCCCCCCCTTTCCAAGATGCATTGATGATGGATAGTTCTTCATGTAGGCCTTAAAGAACTCATTTACATATCAAAACTTGTTATCTCAAAGTAAATGGAATTGAGAAAAAAACTTCAAGATATCCAAGGACTTCAGATACTGATATTAATTTTTTTTTTTTTTTTTTAAATTTTGAGCCTTCTAAGTCAGGCTGACATACACATGGTTTTTCAGATATATGTACATGTATCAATGTTTGAGATACCAAAGTTCAACTGTTTATTTTTAAAAGAACTGTGAACAATAGTATTGTTCTGCCACCTACCTCTTGAGTCAATTTTCAAAAGTTAACTAGATATTTATATGAATTTTCATAAAACATAACTAATTTGGGAAAGCAAAGAGAATCAAATAAGTCTACAACTTCGGTTAAACTTGTGTTTTTCACTTCAGAAATCAATGGCAAATGGAAAATATTTTTAAAATATCCCCCTTCCTCTCCCGAAGTTCTTCTTTACAGGTATTCTGAATTATTTCACAAATTCATACCAAAGCTTTTGTTTTTTCATGGGGTGGGGTGGGGGACATATGTTTACAGACCCAAAGAGAGAGAGAGAGCAAGAGAGAGAAAATGCTTGTTTTATTACAATTTCAAATGAGATTACAACTAAAAAATTAAACTTTATCAATCCTATATGTTTAATTTTTAAATACATAAATAAAACATACCATGAGTATTTTAAAATCCTATGATGTTTCAAAGTCTGTTTTTAATGGATAACATTTTCTAACCCCCTTATAAAGAGGAGCAATTAATTATTTGACACTAGTATTAAAATTAAATTACTAATGAACTATTCTTTGCATTCAAAAAAAGTTTAAATGGTCAAACTACTATTAACGTATGGGTGTAAATTAACTGTAGATGGGAATCAAGAGTTAGCATGCATAGTTCTTATTAACCACTTCAGATTAAGTTCTGCATTCTTTAAATAGTAGAGTGCTAAAGAATTATACCAAGAAGTATTCTCTTGTCATAGTGAAAACTGACCTTCTGCCATGCAGTCTGTCAATTGTTCTCCTATTGCTGCTAAGAGTAATTCTTTCCAAACTGTCGGCTGGAACAAAGTTAACATGAAGTTACTTTATCATTATATACCAAACAAGAGGTCCATGGTCCACAATGCTCACCTGAGTCACGTTGGCCCTGCTGTTCTGCATCAGATTTTATTCCCCAATATACATGTATTCCTATGTAAAATTTTGACTGTCTTTTGTGCGCCCCATCCTTTACAAAGAGGCAGCAATTTTAACAAAAATAAATCATCTACTCTACCAAAGGATGCTTCCACATCAGTATGATTTGTCATGGCTTTTCTTTTCTTGATTAGAAGAGTTTTGTGGCCCTACCCTACTTCCAGTTTCAGTTTTTCTGGCCCAATGGTTCTTGAGAAGAAGATACGTGTATTTAAATTTTTTTTTTTATTTTTTATATTTCAATGTGAACTTTGATTCCCTATTGTGGCCCCTCCCTAATAATCTGAACAATTTACAATCGACACTACCTCACTTGGCTGTCACATAAGT